CCCGAGCCCTCGGGGCTCCTAACCAAACACACACACTAACTCAACCACATCCTACGAACGTAACCGTGCGATCAAATCGCCAAAATAACATCAAAAACGAGGAATCAAACCTCAAAATCATCACTTTTTCATCAAACTTCATAAACTTTCATTTTTAGATATTTAGGTCCGAAACACGTCAACTGACGTCCGATTCCAACCAAATTTCACAGGAAGCGCTTAAACCACATATAAGACCTGTACCGGGCGCCGGAACTAAAATACGGGCCCGATACCAACACTTTCTAAATCATTTTCATTTCAAGTTTCCATATAAATTTCAGAAAAACAATTTCCTTTAAAAATTCATTTCTCGGGCTCGGGACCTCGGATTTCGATTCTGGGTATACGCCCGAGTCCCATATTTTCCTACGGACCCTCCGGGACCGTCCAATCACCGGTCCGGGTCCGTTTACCCAAAATATTGACCAAAGTCAACTTTATTCATATTAGTATTAAAATTCATCAATTTTTACACAAAATTTATATTTAAGCTTTCCGGCTATGCGCCTGGACTGCGCACGTAAATTGAGGCAAGTGATGACTCTTTGGGTCGTCACATTGACCTTTAATTTAAATAAATATCAATTTTTAACAAAATATTTGTGTTAAATTTATATCTCAAATTGATAGATTTTGTAGTTCATATACAAAGTCTCTTATTGTGTGTAGGGTTGTGCATAATTTGGAAAATACCGAATTACCGTACCTAAACTAAAAATTTTGGTATTTGGTATTCTATATTTTGGTTTTCGGCATGGTATTTGGTTTAAGTTTTAAAAAAATAATTTGATATTAGGTATGGTATTTGGTATTTTAAAATAAAATCGAAATATATATTATATTACACAATACACATATTATTAGTTATAACATAAAGATAAGAAATCTAAAATTTTACTTTCCTTTATTCTTTAAGTTCATCAATTAACTCTAAGCAAGTAACAAGACGTTCCTAATGATCAAACTTATTCTTTTATGTACAGTTTTCTCTCTCTGGGTTGGTATTTGCTGATTTTGGACAAAACTTTTGTCAACAATTGTTTTTAGTTTTGTACTTTCGAGTACTTTAATTAAGAATATTATCGTCTATGACTCTATGCACTAGTTAGTATTCAGACCGAATAAACCGAAGTTACCAAACTAAATAAACCGAAACCGAAAGGAGAAAACCCGAATCATACCGAATTTAATTAGGTACGGTATAGGTGCAACATTTTAAAAAATCGCATACCGAAAATACCGAACCGAAATGTCTAAATACCGTAGCGTACCGACCGACGAACACCCCTAATTGTGAGATCTAACACGAAAAAAATAAATAAAGGTCTTTTACATCTAAAGGAATGAAAATTGCGCAAAATATAAGCATGCCAAAAATATAGGAAAAAGGGAACTTCTAAACCTAAAGGAATTGAAAGTCGGTGTACCCAAATAATGTGATTTTTTTTGAGTTTTTTTTCCTTTTAAAAATTATTTTTATTATATAATTTATATAAGAAAGGATTTAATACACAAAATTTAGTTGGTTTTGATGTTCTAAATATAAAATCTATTCCTAAATATTAGAGAACTACTTAAAATGACTATTTTTTCTAGTGCAAAATTATATTTCAAAAGGTAAAAAGGCAAACGACATTTCGCTAAGAACATTCGTACTTTTAATATAGATATAGATATAGATTAATCCTCACCATTCAAATTTAACAGTGAAAGAAGTTTTACTACTATTTAGTATTTATCTTTAACATTTCTGAAATCCGCTAAACTCTAATTCCGTCTCTATTTAATTTCTGTCATTTTTCCTTTTTTTCATGCAATTTAAACTAACAACCATAGACAAGAGGGGGTTGTGTGTTCAAATCACCAGATAAACAATAGTTCCAACAAAGAAGTATCAAAGGGGAGGAGAATTTAAATACAATAAAAAAACTAACAACCAATACAAATCAATCGCGTCTGAGTTCAATTTCAATCCAAATATTTATTCGTACATTTTTCTTCTTAATTAATCAACTAGATTATTTAATTTTTTAAAAATATCCACGAACTTAAAGCATCGATTCTCACTGAAAACTCCGTTATACTATAACAAATTGAACTTCACTCTTCTTATGTTTGGTTCTATTATAAAATCTTGATTGGACTCGATAAGGCAATGGTCTATTTTTTTCATAGCTTCTTTACTACCATATTTTTTTTCATGACCGTCGGATTATGTTTTTCTTGAACCGAGAATTTATCGAAAATCGGGGATGCATTCACCGCCGACTTACGGGTTCACGTAAATCCGGTAAATTTTGTTCAAACAATGTAAATCTATTCGAAAAGTTTACTAAATATCTATAAATGTTTGAATGCGAACCCAGTTACTACTGAAAATTTACTCGAGATCGTTGCAGAAATCCATAAGCATTAAATCCTGAATCACCTTTGCCGATAACAATCTGTCTATCTTTACAAGGTACGGGTAAGGCCTGCATACACTCCAGACCCCTCTCATGAGATTTCACTAGTTATATTGTTGCAGAGGCGGCTCAACAAAAGTTGTGGCCTAAAACCAAACCTTAATAAGAGTCCTTAGATTAATAATAATTTTGTTTTTGTTTTGTTTTTGTAACAATTTGCGAACGAAATCCTTTTGTACGTATCTTGATCATTGACTCGGTTACCAGCTAGTTCCAACTACTGGAGATATTTGGTAACTCAACATCACTTAGACTTATATTATATTTATAAGAAACATATATAGACGGTTAAGATAGTATTTTTATTTTTATTTTATAAATTCTCATAATGTGATAATCTCAATTTTGTACCACCAAGTAGATATCAAAATAATTTCATACATTTGAAATAATTCAAGTTTATTTTGAAGAAAAAAAATGTGTTTATCTATTCTTTATAAGAAATAATCATCTCCAAAAGATAATTTATTTTTAAGTCATCATCAAGGTATCCGTATTCATATATTGCATGTTTCTTATAAATATTTATCTGAATAACCTCTATCACATTTTAAAAAATGAAGTATAAAATCTAATCTCTTTATTAAAAAATTTTATAATATGTAAATAATATATAAAAATAAATAATTTTGGGGCCTTCAACTTTGGGGAGCCTAAAGCAATTGCTTGAGTTGCCTCCGCATTGAGCCGGCACTGTGTTGTTGTTGTTGTTATTGTTGTTGTGTTTTACGTTTAAAAATGATTTGATTGAAATTTGAAAAAAAAAATATGGGTTAAAGTTAGTGTTTTCTTGCCGGAGTATCCCATTTCCAGCAAAATTAGACTTGCCAGCAGAAAGTGTTTATGAACAACAAGAAGTAGAGGTTTACAAGCTGGCTATAAATTTATAAATCCTGATTAAAGCTAATCAAGGAATGCCGCAAATTCTACCAATAATTATATGATTTACAAGCTGTGCCCACAATACCAATATTAAAATACTCCCTCCTTTGTTTTCAAATACAATAATACAACTTTTTCACCACATTTTCAGGACATTCTCAGTGCAATCAGAAGACTATATATTTTCTCTCGGGTACATATTATTTGTCAATTTTACAAATATTATTCATTTTATAATATTTGATATTTTTAAATTAAAAAAAAAAAACAAAACAAAATTTACTTATTACTCTTTTTGTTTTTCAAATTTATCCTACTGCTCCAATTAGCGGTGTAATTACGAAAACTATTTAAGAGATAAGGGAAGTATAGACAATATTCTTATAATTAAGGTTATTAAAATATCTTTCTACAAGGATATACAAAAATATTAAAAGACAAATAATATGAACATCTATTATTACGGTTGTAGGCTAGGGGGTAGTTGAGTCTTACGTTACTTTGTACCTTTGTGAGCCTAGTCCGGTAGGGTTTTGTCTAAGAGAGCTGGGGGCAATGTCGTGTCTTACTATTTTCCTTTCCGACGTTGGATCCATTTACTAACCACCGTTTTTGCTTTGCATTTTTCTTCTGCATTTTATGTTCCTATTTTTCCTATGATCTCCGTGATGAATCTAATATCCTCTCCTTTTGTCTTCTTTTTATTATCTTGAGCCGAGGGTCTTTCGGAAACAGCCTCTCTACCCCTTCGGGGTAGGGGTAAGGTCTACGTATACACTACCCTCCCCAGACCCCACTCGTGAGATTTTACTGAGTTGTTGTTGTTGTTGATATCTAAATTTCAAACTTACATGCAAAATACATGTACTAAACTTTTGAGGAGTTCCTATTAAGTCACCTGCAAACAAATAAATTTTAAGTTGTTTATTACAAGTGACCAGAACAGGACCACCAAAGGATGTGGTGCAGTGCATGGGATTGCTCCTCCCTTAACCAGAGGTCTCGAGTTCGAGCCCTGGGTATGGAAAAATCCTCGGTAGGGAGCGCTTCCCCCCGAAAGGGGCCCCTACGCGGCGAATCCGGATATAGTCGGGCTCCAATGCGGGTACTGGACACCGGGTGGGAAACTAAAAAAAAAAAAAGACCAGAACAGGGGTTAATTAATAAAACACTAGTGACACACATGGACAAAGACAGAATTTTGTCTTGCAACATGTCTTATTTCAGCTTAGGATTTCCTATTTTGTGTTGCTTTTCCGTGACCAAGCAACTGGAAACATAAAACAAATGCTTCTCTGATGCAATTGGAAACGAAATTAATGCTAAATAAGGGCAGCTCAGTGCATAAAACATCCCACATTCATTTAGGATCTAGGCAAGGGTCGCACTCATATGCGGTGTGATGTAAACAGCCTACCATTAGTGACTGCTTCCATGACTCGAATCCGTGACTTATAGGTTACACTGTTTTAGAGCGCGAACTCGTGACCTATAAATCACACAGTCTTAGAGCCCGAACTCGTGACTCTAATGCATCAGACTATAGGAGAGAGATGATAAAATGATCTAAATAGTAATAAACCAATGAAGAACTCAAACATTTTGGGGTGATAGAAGTGGAAAACAGAACACATTTTTATTTCATTAAAACATAAATCTGTAGTATTAGTACCAAAAGAAGGCGTGGAATTCCATATGTACAACTGAAATTCTTATGAAATCAGAAGTGCCAGAGCAGCCCCTTCAAATAGAATCCCTAAATCTAACTATGAATACAAACAATCTAGCCCATCTTCAATGGAAGTGTTGAAGAACAATGGCTTGTAAAAATTGTTGTGACATGTAAACCTGGTTTGCGTTGCTGTCGTGCTTGGTCCATTCGTTGATCTCTTTTCAACCATTATAGTATGCGCGCAATCTAAGCTCCCCTCGCGTAGGAATTCCTCTGTGCACTAGGCACTCCTATGGTTCGCAGGCAGGACAAAGAATGTTGCATCTAGCACGAGATCATTAAAAGAGAGCTCCATCTAACTAGACGATGAACATCGTATTGACAGAGGCTCAATTCCGGAGACAATTCTCCACTCATGTCCTACCAGAGCTAGGTGAGCGATCTTCAAGTGCATCTTCCCGACCCTTTCTTCCCAAAGAGACATCAGATCAAGCACTTCGTTTTGAAAAAGATTTCCTTCTTGAGTTTCTACCTATGTTGCACTGACTCACCAAAATGCTACTGCACCCGTGTCACATCCTCCAAAAATGCACTACTTTTGAAGGATCTAACACGCTCCGCGACATTTAGGACGGTCCGAGCAACATAGGTTTCTACTACAATAATAGCTATACATAATCTGTTTTTAGTTCTATACCTCAGTTTCCAATTGTATAGATAACTCTCTCTATGGCCAATTTTCTTCGCCATCTGAGGCAAACAAGGCTACAGAGATCTCAGCCAACTTCTTCCTACTCAATCGAGACCTTGCAATCTTCGGCAGCTTTGGAGCATTTGGTGGTTCTACCTCATTGGAATCCCCCAAATCCTCCATATCAAAAGCATTCCGAAAAGGAAGAGTCTTTCTCGGTGTACTAAACTCAAAATGCAATTTTTTCGCAATCAGAGTCTGCTCATACATACATCAAAAAAGAATAGCTCATCAATACTTAGACTAATCAATACTTAGACTAATTAATACTTATACTAATCAATATTTAACAATACTTCAATGACAAATTAAAGCTTACCACGTCCCTAATTGCCGTTGATACATGAAACAAACTCTTCAAATCATCATGATCAACTCCACACACTATCCTTATCTGCATAAAGAAACACATCTCTTTCAGCAAAATTAAGCTCACGTCTCCTAAACTATACACAAAAAATAGAAGAGATACACGAAAAAGAAATAGATTCTGTACTAACCAAGATATCTTTAGGCAAGGCTTCAAAAGCAGATTTCTCATTTGTACAAAATGAGTTTTGACTGCAGAATCTCTTTGTAGGCGTAGTTGAAATGAAATCAACGTCTACTGCATTTGATAAAGTGACTCGTTTTCGCCCAAATGAGGTACTCCTCACAATGCCTAACCCCAAATTTTCGCAATTGTTCAACAATGCCATTTTCTTCTTCTTCGCCAAAAAATCCCAACTGCAAGATCCAATTTTTTTCCACCAAAGCAGACAACAAAAACAATTAGTATATTATCCAATAACCAAGAAACCAAAATAGAATTAAACTCTAAGCATAATCTAACACTAAATAATGAAATCTTTGGAAATGGACCAAATTATAAAGACCCCAAAATCCCAAAACCAAATCCTTGGAAATGGATATAACTATAACCAACAACAGCAACAAACTCAGTATAATACCACAAGTGGGGTCTGGGGAGGGTAGTGTGTACGCAGATCTTAACCCAACATAGAAAGGTAGGAAGCCTGTTTCCGATAGACCCTCGGCTCAAGAGGGACATAACTATAATGAATAACCAATTAGTACTATTATCCAATAGGGAATCAACCCCCAAAGGCCCAAACTCAGCAAACTGAATAAAGTATCCAATATTCAAGAAACCAAAATCCAATCAAACTCTAAGCACAATCTATCACTAAATAATGAAATCTTTAGAAATGGACTAAACTGTAATTATCCCAAAACCAAATCAAAACCAATCTAATAATCAATATCTAAATGATATTCTGTATAAACTGAATCAACTGTATAGACAGCAGAAACTTTTACTTAATAAAAATTAATATTAATATATTTATTAAAAACAGCAAAATGAGGTACTCCTCACAAAGATTAACACCAAACTTTCACACACACACACACACAAAAAAAAAAAAGAAAAACCAACTGCAAGATCCAATTTTTTCAACCAAAAGCAGACAACAAAAAGAATAACAAAATAGTATTATCCAATAATCAACCCTTAAATTCAGCAAATGAACAAAGTATCCAATAATCAAGAAACCATAATCTAATTAAACTCTAAGCATAATCTACCACTAAATAATGAAAATCTTATTTCCAACTTTGTAAATGGACCAAATAACAAACACCCAAAAACACACCAAAATCAAAATTTAAAAAAAATCAATCTATCAATCAATACCTAAAAGAGATTCTGTATATATTGCAGAAACAGCAAAATGTATGTATATATATTGGATACAGACCTTGAAGTAGAACCCTAAATTGAAGGCAGAAGTAATAAATTTTGATAATTGAAGTAAACCGTTGTGTTTCTAATCAAGGAAACAAGAACCACTGGCCAACTGAAACTTCTCTTCAACTTGCTGGAAATGAGTCAAGTTTTTTCCTTATATACACAGAGTTTTTTTTAATTGTTTTCTTTTTTACTTCTCCTTTTTTCCATTGAAATGGTTTTCTTTGCTTCTAAGAAATATTTATTAAAATGGTAGTGATAATAAGGATTAAAATATGCTATCCAAGTTGTGAAAAAAGATTCGCTTTGGATTTATGGAAAGGGAATCGAATTTTCCGGTAAAAAGATTTTGGTATGTTATTTATAGCCTATTTGGAAAGCTTTTTTTTTTAGGTAACAGTATTTTTTTAAAAATTAAGGTATTTAGCTAAGCTTTTAAAAAAAAATTAAAAAATACTTTTAAGTAAAAGTAGAAATTGTATTGAGAGCAGAAAAAAATAGTTGTCTTTCCAAAAGTATACTTTTTAGAAAATTACACGTAAAATATTTTTTTTATAATAATTTCTCCTTGAATTTTTTTAAAAATTATTAGTCAAATATAAACTTTGTATTTTTTAAAAAAAATTAAAATAAGTTGATTTTAAAGTTTTGGCAAATATGCTATAAATATGGGAGGGAGTTAAAATAGTAAAATTAGCCGTTTAAGATGGCTACTGTCACTGTCAGTGTGTGAAAATGTTAGTGATTTGTTCTGTACACGTCAGCATGTCGGTAGCTTATCTAACACGTTCCACAATCTTAACACGTCTTTAAACTAAAATTTTAACATTAAAAAGGTTGTAAAAAGTTTGAGGTTTGTGGGGAAATATAACAAAAAAATTGTGATTTTTAACTTTGATAAGGTGTAAGGTGGAGCCAGAAATCTTTAAAAAAAAAAAAAAAGAAAATGTAAATATTTTATTGTAATATTTTGCACAATTTTTGTCATTATACTAGAAGTAATTTTTTAGTTTACGGAGATTTAGAAATTTATATGTATAGAAAATGATTTGGCTTTTTCCCTATTACGGTGGGTAAATTTCGGATGCAAATTGCAATGGAGAAAGAATTCTAAATGGGCGGCTGAGGACTGACTGACGGCTGTAATCCTTTTCACACAATGAGTATTTAGGTTACCAACCGCCATTTTGCTGGGGGTGGGGGTCAAAATCTGTTCAACGCGGCTACGAGTATAAGAGCTCGTTTGGTAGAATGCATTAATTAGAGAAAATAATATATGCATTAATTTTGTGTATTAGTAATATTTTGTTTGGTATATTTTTTTAACTTATGTATAACTAATACACCTTATTTGGTGTTATCCTATGTATAGCAAACCATGGTATTAGGCTATTAGCAATACCAAAACTATTAGGGGTCGTTTGGTTGCCGGTTAGAGTTATGCAGGTATTAGTTATACATGTATTAGTTATGCAGGGATAAGTAATGCAGGGATTAGTTATGCAGGTATTAGTTATGCAGAGATTATTTTTTTGAATGTTTGGTTTGTTGTATTAGAAATTGATATACATTATATAAATTTTAAAGTAAAATGCTTGTTTACAACTATACCCCTGGCCTTCTTTTGCATTGTTTTTTCTCTCTTTCCATTTATGTAGGAAACAATTTAGTTAGGAACTTTGGGTGTTACTTTCACTTCTTCGTCATACTACTGAACTATGTGAAGTTTAGACATATTTGATTTTCACTTCTTAGTTTTGGTATTTCCATTTTCTAGTGGCTTCTCCAGTTTGCTTTTGCTAGTTTGTTCTTTAAAAATGAGAGAAGACAAGGTATATAGTTGGCAAGTGAAAGCAAGTGAAACCTGTTGACGGGATGGCAGAGAAATAAGGAAGCCTTATGTGTAAAGCAATAGGGGTAAATTTGTCATTTCAGTATTTTATCCATGTATTACTAATACATGTATTAGTTATTCCATCTTCTACCCTGCATAAAATAATACACAGATTGACTCATAACTTATACATGTATTATTTATGCATAATTGAAAAATGTCAACCAAACATGGTATTAGTTATGCAGAATTTTATACAAAATAACGATTGCCTACCAAACATGGTATAAGTTATGTTACCCCTTATACATGAATAACCTTTCTTCTAACCAGCTACCAAACGACCTCTTAATGCATGCATTAACATGGTTAAAAACAAAACTATCGTTAAAGTCTCTTAAAGCTAAAGAATATGGAGGCCAATTTTGTGAACAACAAATTTTCTTAAATATTGTGAAATGCATTTTAATTTTTAATACACAACACCAAACAATGGATAAGAAATAATTTCTGCATAACTAATGTTTGCATTACTAATGCATACATTAGTAATCTCTGCATTACTAATACACCTTATTCAGCATTATTCTTATACGTAAGGTTTTGCGCACACGGTAGTGACCAGCAAATTTGGTTCTTTTTCCTTTAAATATATTTTGTGTTTTTTTGTTTTAGTCTAATCATCTGATATTCTATACTACTTACTAACTCGACTTATTTTGATTCGTGTCATGCATTATAAGGGATTTGTTTATTTCATAGTTTGACCTAAAACATCTAATTAAAGGTAAAGGAGTCTTATCACGAGCTTTTACAATATCCCTTGATGTTTTCTTTTTCTCTTTTTATACTTCAGTCATCTCAACAACAACAACAACTATCCAGTAAAATCTCACATAATGGGGTCTGGGGAGAGTAATGTGTACGCAGACTTCATCCTTGCCCCGACAGGACAGAGAGACTGTTTCCGATAGACCCTCGGCTCAGTCATCTCATTTTATAATAATATTTTATTAACTACTGAGTTTAAAAGTCTTTGTATTATACTAATCATGGTGGAAGATATATGACAGTTACAGTGGTAACAAAGTTATCGGACCCACATTATATGTCCAGTATTTGTGGAGTCTTTAGTCTAAACTAGAGATTACATATATATATATAGAAGATGGTTTGATCAATTGTGGAGATATAAAATAGTATGATATATAAACGGTCATATAATAATATTTGGGGATATAAAATATGATAGATAAACGGTCTTATATAGTAATAGATACGATAAAATCAGATTGCAGCTGATAAAAAGGTATAAGGTACAAGTATTTCATGTAAAGGCTAAAACGAGATAACCTCAGTTAAGATGATTTGATCATGATGTTATATCATACATTAAATGTATCAGCCCTTAAGTAGTAAATTATGGTGATTAAGAGTATTACAAAACGATAGAGGTGGACCTAAAACTAAATAGAGTTAGATTTTCTTAGAATACCTGCATTCACTTGAAATTAAAACAGACTTTTAGAAACTTATGACTTACTGAAAGCAAAAGATGCATATAACGACTACTTTAGATAACTGCTTAATATTATTATATTAGCATGCTTACGTTATGCCTGTTAGGACCGAAAAATCAGGTGTCATGCGGAAGCTAGCAAAGCAAACCTTGAACGATGATAAATCATACAACAAATAGAAATCTACCGAATTAAAGAGACACAAACATTTAACGTGGTTCGGTCAACTGACCTACGCCCACAACGGAGATGAGCAATCCACTATAATAAAAAGAGAGTACAAAATATCGAGAGAACAACCTCACGAAGAGGCAAACACAAGTGACACACTAACACTTGTCGCGTAAAGTTCTCCCCTAGACACGACTCTCAAGCCCCCTATGGCTACATTGTGGATGCTACTGAATGTGAAGGAAGGATCCTCAATTTATAGAAGTCCAAACCTTTTCCTACAAGAAAAAGGACTAGCCAAATATTGGAGATTTATAATTTCCTTTTACAAAAAGAAAAACCCAGTTAAGGTAATTATATTGCCCTTTCCTTCAAGAGATAGAAAAATCAAATATGGTAAGAAAATTATGGCAAACACCTAACAATTCTCCCCCTTGGCTTGAATTTTCTGACAAATAAACTTGATCCACCTTCTTCACATAGCCTTCAACGGGTCGCATCTCCAGATCTCCGCCACAAAGTTTGTCTCAACGTGCGTAGCATTCCGGTCAAATTTCTCAGACAAAAAATCACGATTATCGTCAAATATGTTGCAGCTAGAACTGAACACGCCAAGATGAACCTGTCTTGAACCTCGCTCAAAGCTGGCTTTGATACCACTCTTGGCATATTCCATGGTCACCTTACCTCCTGGAGCTGAATTTGTCAAAGAAACACGAAGAGTTTCCCAAGAGT